TAAAAACTAGATCAAAGCCTTAGCTGCAGAGCTGAACCTGGCCTTGGAAATGCTTATTAGCGTGCATACAGCCACCATAATAAGCAAAGAGAAAGCTACTTGCTGCCCATTGTCTAGGGTTAAAATATCTTATTAAAAACCTCATAGATTTCCCTCTTTTAATGTGATTTCTTTTTCTAAAATTTTCAAATATTTTGTGGTGTATTCATTTTGGCAAGTAACTATTTTTCTTCAAGAAGAGGATCTTTCGTTGCATTAAAAAATAAATTCCCCACAGCACCTCACGTACTTCTAATACACATTAGGGACTCCATAAATATTTGTGTCTTAAATAGTTTCAGTGCTAGAAATATATGACAGAATTATCACCTGGAACCAAAGACCTGGTCTTAGTGATACGTATACTGGGGGTCTGCTCTCTCCAGAAGCTCATGGAAGGAATTACACATAGAGAGCTCCAACAAATTAAGTCCTGGGAAACTGGCAGAAGAAGAAATGTGGAAGTTCCAGCTTCTTTTGTGCTACAAGTTTCCAAATTATAAGGAAATATGCCAGATCCCTTTGGCTTTCAAATAATAATATACTCTGAATTAATGACTAACAAGGAAACACCCACTGAGTGGTTCATGGACAGTATCTCTCCAAAGGTCAGATCCTATTGGCAAATGACCAAATAACCCTTCTCTCTTGAGCCAGCCAACCACTTCTTGGGCCAGGAAGCACTTTGCCATCAACTCAGCATTATAAAAGGGAGCAATTAACAGTATCATTTGCAGTTAATCTAATAATTCCACTGAATATTCCAAAATCTGTGCGTGAAACACATTTGATTTGGGAGCCTGCCATGATCTGGAGAGAAAGTTTCTAATAGAAATATAAAAACAAGCCATTTCTTTTTAAAGAGAAATAAATATTTTTAATCTCATGTAGCAACATAGTACATAAATAATGTATTAAGACTAACTTCAAGGCAAATGCAACAAAAAATTTACAAGAATCCCCCCCTTAACACTAAGTGTGCATCCCTAAAACACTCTTGTTGATGAATTTGCTTTATTTCACATTTTGGGGAGTTTCTAAAGTAATTAATTGTGTAATATCAACACCTGATTTTCTCTAATTTTAGTAAATACTCATTTTTTTCAGATGAAGAAAATGAGACAGTTAAAGGTTCCAATTATTTTCTAATACAAGCGAGTGATAACATATTTAATAAATCTGTCATTCATTTACTCATTTAACATTTGGTGAATACCTGTTCTGCACCAGGAACAGGTATTCACCTGTTAGGTGAATTAGGCATTAGGGACTAAAACGAACAACGTAAATGTAGTTTCTACTTTCATGGAGTTTACAGTCTAGTCTGAAATCTTGCATTAAGCAAGTACAGAAACAAGTCAACAATTGAGATGAAACAAAACCAATCAAATAAAGGGTGCTTATAACTTTGTTTACTTAACAAAAGTGGTTTCCTGCAAAGAAGAGGTGGTTTCATCTAAATCTTGATTTGCTCTAAAAAATAAATTCAATTAAAATGTAAACTACAAAAGGCCAACTATAGACCCACTAAACTGTTATTCCCGAAAGTTATTTCTGAATAGGTTTAATGTTGAAATGACAAGGCATTTTTTTTTTTTCAGGAAAAGTGATAGTTATTATAGAAATACCTTTAACCAAGGCAGTTTCCAGGGGAATTAATGACCACTTTAGGTTAATGGTCATTGGATTCATGTTCAGCCCTCAATTAAACTTTGAACTTCAATTGTTATTACTTAATTGACTTGGTTTTATTTCATGTCAGCATTTCAATATGACCTTCGTTTTAAAAAGTAAAAATTACCCTGACATCGTACCATGAGTCTTTAGTTGAGCCTGACATTGTTGCAGCAGTCCACACTATCTTTATATATGGTTGAGCCTAGAATTTGCTTAGCTTTGCTATCACTAGTGTACTTCCCATTATCCTTGCCTAAAAAATGAGACAGCTTAGGATAAGTCCAAGTGATGAGAGAAAAGGATGAAAAAATAAATATATCTGTTGGCATGATTATTATTAAGATGCCAGATAAATCCACTGAGATCCACTGTATCCTAATTGCAGGGAGTTGGACAGTTTTAACGAATACCTTGAGTATCACAATTAAATACTATCAAGGTATGCTTAGTTTAAAATGTTCCTCTATTATCTTTTCTTACAAGTGACTCCAAATATTCAGCTGTTCTTCTTAAGTAGATGAAAACTTAAATCTCCTTTACCTCCACATTAAACAACAAGAACAAGTTGGAATTATTTAAACAATGAGTTGGATTTTATATAAAGGGAGTATGACACCCAGATCGAACTTTGGTATACTAAGTGAAACAAATTAAGGCACCAAATGAGCGTTTCCCTTCCCCTGTACTGTGGAAACATTTTAAAAGTCTTTCTGAAGTACTTTGATCAGGCTTTGAAATCATTTTAGTGGATTACTATTGTATGAAAACCGTAATTTATAGCACTTGACCTAAGCAGCTCTTTGTCTTACAGCCATATTCCAAACAATAGCAGGAAAGTGAAAAACGCAAGGCGAACCCAAGTTGCTCAGGTTATTATTTAATTCATAATTCCATCTTCCTTATTTAATCTTTGGAATCCAGGCATGTTCTTAATAAAACAGGTTCAGATCATGTTTACTAAATGTAGGAAGGTTGGTTTAGAGTAACAAGATTAAATGATCCAAACACATGACCTTTCCATAACCCACGACTGACTTTACAGAGACAGGTTCAGATAGGCGCTTCCCATAAATGGTGACATTGCAGGCAAACTTCTATTGTTTGCCTTTGAGTTTCCTCTCAAGTTAAGCCTGCTTTGTTCCTTAACCCTAATCAAGAATGTGTCCACTGAGATTTTCTCCTCTCATCTTGTCACAAAATAGTTATACTTTGAGACAACTTGCTCCCATCAGATCACATGAAAATGGCAAGCTACCCCAAGATGAATGAGCTGGGAGAGATTCGCTAAATCAGACAGACATTTTGCTATTTTAATCAGCTGAATACTACCACTCAGGCTGTAAGTAACTATAACACTTTTTTTTTTTTTCCCTCCATTTGCCAAAACATTTACTGAAGGCATGAACTTGAAGCCATATTTAACCCTGTAGAATCTTATTATCTTAGTTAAAAGTTTTACGATCCTTCTGGTGCCACACATGTGCTCTTGAGTAGGCATGTGGAGGATGCTTAAGCTGTGCTTCTCCCCAAAGAGATTGGGCCAATTGCTCCCCACTCCCCAACCAGACGTATGCATCAGGACTTAGATGGGATACATTTTGGTCCTGGGATCATCTTTTAGAAAAAGAGCCCGAGAGTCATGAGAAAAATGCAGGGTCCGCGTCTACGTGGAGGGAAACTGGCAAAGGCTAATGAGCTGAAAGATGAAAAGTGGCAAAAGTGAAAAGTAAAGTGAGGGCATATGGAAGCAGTCAAGATTTAATGCAATTGAGACACCAGGTCTCTAGATAAGTACAGTTAAAAAGAGGACTCATCTGGCCGGGCGCGGTGGCTCAAGCCTGTAATCCCAGCACTTTGGGAGGCCGAGGCGGGTGGATCACGAGGTCAAGAGATCGAGACCATTCTGGTCAACATGGTGAAACCCCGTCTCTACTAAAAATACAAAAAACTAGCTGGGCGTGGTGGCACCTGCCTGTAATCCCAGCTACTTAGGAGGCTGAGGCAGGAGAATTGCCTGAACCCAGGAGGCAGAGGTTGCGGTGAGCCGAGATTGTGCCATTGCACTCCAGCCTGGGTAACAAGAGCGAAACTCCGTCTCAAAAAAAAAAAAAAAAAAAAAAAAAAAAAAAAAAGAGGACTCATCTAAGGCATCTTGGTTCCAAAGAGAAAAGAAAACAATGGGTGTAGCTCCCCAGTGAGAAGCAAGTGAATTAACTGTTCACTTCAGCATTAATTAGTGTGGCTCGCCAGGGACCATTTAGGTAGATTACCTCATCAGGGCCCTAAGCAGTCCCCTGGAGGCCTGAGTGAGTTAATGCATCCCTTCAAGACCAACCATTTATCATCTTTTCCAGGGGGAATCAAGCCTTGCCAATAACGAACAGGTATACACACCTACAGTTACAAGAAAATTATTTCCCCTGGAGGTCCAGCTTATTACCTTAGACCCCTGAGACGTACCTTTTATATAAGATTTTAGGTGTTGTAAAGAGCGGACGTATGCTTCACTAGAAGGCAAAAGAAAAAAAAAAAGGATATACAACTTTTTTTTTTTTTTTTTTTTTTGAGGCGGTACAGATGTGAGGTGGGAAGGAGTCTATGTGGCTGCCTTAAATATCAGTACTGGATCAGCTTTGCTTTGAGTTGATCCCTTTCCAGACTTCAGATGGTCTCCTATGTGTTAGTCAGGGCAGATGCTTGGCGAAGTCTGTATGTGCTGGGGAGAACGTCATTCAGTTTTACGTTTTACACAAGCTCCAGCTTTCTGGCTTTGCATAATTCATTAGCATGGTGTGCAGAATGCACCATAAAACAAGATTTGGATTCAATATTAACGTTCTAATGACAACAGCCATAAAAATAAGTTGTCATGCCGTGTCTGCTTTCTGGGGCTGATGTTTATATTGTCTAAACTAAAGAAACCAAACACGCAGACGATGTATAGAGATGGAACACAGAGAAGTATTTTTAACGGAAAAAGAAACAACTCAAGGAGACTTTAAGCTTCCAATTGAGGAACATTACTCCCTTCTTTCCCACACCCCTCCACTTCAAAAGTAGTATAATTACCACATTAGTTTTTGTGTGTGAAAAACTTCATTTGACTAATTCGTAACCTTACTATAGTGTGTAGAGTTTACTGTTGGGTTCTTTCTTAGTTTTAAGGGCTAGATTTTAGAGCCTCATTCATAAAAAGGAGGTAGTACCTTTGCTGGGAACACCAATACCTTCTCACAACACATTATGTCAGGGCAACAGGTAAAAGAATAAATATCAAATGCAAGTACCTTTTTTTTTTTAATTTATTTGTTCACGTTCATCATAAATTTGTTTAACGTAAAAGAAACAAATCCTTGACAAGGGTTTAACAGGATTTTCAACATCTGTGCTGATAAATGTAATTTATTCATAAAGAAAAAGCAGTTTAGAACATGCTAGGAAACCTGCTTTTAACATTTTTGTTTAAAGCGCATGCATGTGTGTTTGTGTGTGTGTGTATGTGTATCAAGGCAATACACTGGTGGTTTCAGATCATTGTATGTCATTGAGAAGCCTGCACAATGAATTTTACACTGAAACAGAAGTTTGCCTGATAGTTCTTTAGCATTTCATCATCTTCTTCCTCTTCCCAATGTACCCACTCAGAGTTCAAATCCACACGTTTGGACCAGGCTTATGTCTTCAGAAGGAAAAGCAGCAGGCATATTTTTTCAAACCTTCTTTGGTACAAAATGAACAAAGTAGAAATGAGATATTTAGTCTTTTGAAAAAAATCAAGCAATGTATATGAGTTAAAGCTGTTTGCAAAAGTTACATTGTTGTTATTAATATTTCCCAAATCATTTATTCAACATTATAAAAGTTATGTTTTGTCAGCATGGGGTGGGCAAATATTTTACCAAATACATTTTGGGTACAGATTAATACTCAACTTCCCACAAAATAGGATGATTATTAACTTATTGATGTTTCACTTTAGAATCTGATTTGCTGTACATAAAAGTGAATAAATTAGAGTGAACAAATACAAAATCTCCTTTATTTTGCTTATTAAAAAATTGCTCCAGGTTTATTTCTGGCACACTTAGTTCATACAAAGCTAAACGTTTCTAATGCAGAACTTCAGTGTTATATAATTACACGGTATAAAATGTATATACAAAGCAGGCTACAGCGTGCGCCTCTAAAAAAAACTACTCATAAAAGTATTAGTTCACATGCATAATGACAACTAACCATGTTTAAAAATAAATCCTCCTCAATGCTGGCACTTAGCTTCAGCCGTCTCCTCTCAGCCCCTGGTCTAAAGGAGTGTGGTTTCCAGGCTCAGTGTAACTAATACTTTCACATAAGATAAATCTAAAATATTTGCTACTCAAATAACATTATAAAAAGAAGAAATTCTCATCCTGTGTATTTTTGCAGCTTGGCTTACTGTCAACGAAGTCAGGAAGCCGTAAAGACCGAATCCAGCGAACACAGCACGGGCTGCCATCAAGGTCTTCTGGAGCTCTGCAGGTGAGTGCAAAAGCGGCTTCGGACTTCGTGGCTTCAGGGCTCCTAGGTGTGCGCTAGATGATTCCGCGACGGTGATGCAATGCTGGGTCTCCATGAGTGCATGTGAACAGAGAGCCAAGTGAGTGGAGGCTTAGGGAAGCAAAATAAGAGGGTGATTCGGTAACTGGGAGAACAGAAAAGTCACACCTTTCTGGCTTCACCGTTTTTCTTTTGTTTGGCATGCAAGGAGAAACCATCCGAAGAAAGATTATGACTATCTATAAACTAACTGTGTGACACAGACAGAAATGCTGATAATGAGTGGGTTGTGTCTGTAGTTCTTGGCTGTTCACATCAGCAAGGGATGAAGGAAAACAGAAACTCCTGATATGTTTGTCTAAAGAGGTAGTGGTGTGACTACGGGCAGGAAGAGTTCAGCTGAAGTTCAGGGCAGATGTTGCCAGGATCTTGCAGTGCAGGAAAGTAAAATGGCTTCTGGATTCACCTTTTCCTCCCAGCTTCTCTTCCAGGATCTTTAGGGTCAAGCCATGCTGTGGCATAAAGTGACAATGTTCGTAGGGAAACAGGCTTTGAGCAGGATGCCCCTTTCCCGGTTGCAGTCTAGCTCCTGGATAAATCCGTACCAATAGATGACTAAGCCTGGCCCAAATCTGTGAAAACAGCAGAAAATAACACACACACGCACATCGCATCAACACAGCTCTCGAGAAAAGTCACCTTGGAGGCACTGATACATGATTAAATGACAGGACTGCACAGAATTTTTGTTTTAGTTGCTACTGTTAGGACTGAAAACAGCTGAACTTACACCAAAGAGTTCACATAACAGACATACTACCTTCTTGGATGGATGTGTTAACCTCTCTCTCCAGACACCTGAAATGTTTCAGATACAGGAAATCTGACTCTTGCAGTTCAGTAAGGTGATATGAGCTTGGGCTGATGTGACTACCTAGCTGATGGAGGACAGACTCACGGTGCAAACAGGGATGAGCTAGGGAACACCTGCCTTGGGATTTTAGTTGAAACATGTAGTGGTACTATTTAAAAAATTAAACTTGCCTAAAAATAGTGTTTGAAAACATAATTAAAAATGCAACAACTTAAGGTCCTCTTCTGGCTCTAATGTTCTATTCATACACCCAATGGGCTGGAAGTACCTACTGTCACCCAAACGACACACGGGGTCCCTTCACTCTCTGCATTACAACTTCCGTAAGTGTGGATGGACACCGCATAAAATTTGGTCATATGTGCTTATGGAAATGAGCAACAAAGTAGAGGCAGCTATAGGCTTAATAAAACCTCAGCATTTCTAAGTTGTGCCTCTGAATTAACTCCAATTTTGTTAGCAGTGACTGATCCCCGCCGGGCAGACTCAGGAAGTGGCCCTATAGACTTCTTCACCTATCAGGAAGTTGAGACCTTTGGGCTAGGTTCATAAAGATGTAATCACTATCAATCACTGTGCACAGAGAGATGTTTTGCACATCAGTTTCACGTTTTTCCTACCGAGAGCACTTAATTAAAGGGCAGCACTACTTTTGGTGTCGTGTTGCAGGAATTTTACAGTGAAATAATAAATTATGAATGTTGGGTTAGTAAAAGGATGTCTAAAAACAGAACTGCTTTCTGTATTCTAACATTACAGCAGGCTGAACCATGCTAGGCCAAAAAGCTTTCTCCTTCCATGATTTATTATATGTTGTAATGTACTTGCCAAAACTAACAGTACAGGATGGGCTGCGAGACACGGTATGCACAGGAACAAGTTCAATTGGATGTCACGATTTATTTGGGGATTCACATTAGTGGGGTAGCGAAGTTGTATTAAGATTAATTAAGACTTTTTCAATCACCTCTGTTCAGGTACAGAATCATGAGATGGCAACTCACTCATTACATGACCTTGTTCTAGAAGCAGTAGGGACTGGGTATAATTAGAAACCCTGGAGCAGCAGGCACACTGAGATTTATCAGCGCAGATGGTCTCTTCTTCCTCAGCATCCCCAAAGCAGAGTTTCCCTTGAGTTCAGTAGAATGAGGCTACCTATGCACAGGTGTGTGGGTCCCCAGGCTCAAATGCATACAAGATGAAGCTAACACAAGAAGAACTTGCTTCCACTTAACTGAGAGTTTCTTAGTGACTTTTAATCACAAACACTTGCCTGTAATTGGAACATAAACCATTGGTACCTTTATTTTACAAAGAGCTCTATGATTAGTGCCAAAGGATCTCAGATTTGTCAAAACAAGTCTGGCAAGAACAAAGATTTGCGATTCTGTGGACCAGGTCTGAGAAGCCTCAAACCTCCCCATCAGCGAAGCACCCGTGAGTCAAAGCCTTGACAGATCGAACATTAAGCTCAACACATTCTTCCATTTTATTATACAGCCATTCTGGAGACCATGATGTTCCTTGGAAAGGCACTAATATTTTCACAAAGGAAGAAAAAAACTGATCTAACAAGTCACAGAGAAGAACAAAAGAATATATGGAGGTCATAAAAAACAAGCCCAGTATTTTAAAGATTTAATAAAACAAAAACACATATCACCAACACTGAGCGAGTAAGAGCAGCCTGCACTTTCCCTGAACAGCTAAATCATAAGCCAGAGGACAAGAAGCATGACAGCTCTTTACAAAAATGGCATTTTCTAGGCAGAAAAGCCAGGCTGGGGAACACCTCAGTGCTCAAGAAAATGGACTTATTTCACTTGTGAGGCAACAGATATTCTTGCAACTCAAAAAGGTTTTGCAAGATTGTGAACCTTATCATTTCACGTAGAGGTTCACAACCAGGATTCCCTCAAGGTACCAACACAGATCTGTGAATATTTTGAGTACGATTCATTAATAAGGCTCTGCTGCCTACCTAAGTTTTATGTTTCTAATGGAATTCTGTTTAAGTTAGGTAACATTACCTCTGTCAATGTAGCTGAAAACCTCTGATTGACAGTATGTCTCCACTTAATTAAGAACATGGAAACAAAACTTCTCTTTGTAAATAGAGATTGATAGGCTTTCAAATTATGTGGTCTTTGGGTGACAAAAGCAATAGGGACTTTAGAGAGTGACAAGTTTAAAAATTTAATGGCAGAACAAGATCTGGCCTTGCTTCCAGCTTCTACGTTATTGCATTTTTGAGCCTTCTCCAACAGCTCAGGATCCAGAGATTATCAGATACTGGTGACATAACCTTTCAGCAGTCTACCTGTTTATGAAGAGGGGGACCACATTAAGCAACTTGATAAAATCTATTTCTTGGTTATCTGCAGCAACAGGAGAAAAGTTTTGGTTGCTAATTTGAAATATCAAGCAATCAAAAATGGTAAAAGAGGTGTAAATTAAGACCCTAGAAAATATTTAGGTCAAACACACACTTTCGGGTAGAACCATTTCCCCTTTTTGATGCCTATTCTCATTTAATGTGGCACCACTGGAAGAAAATTGGATCACTGGGAAGGCAAATATGACCTTTGTGACTAATAAAAATCAAAGAGACTTTAACAATATTGAAAAGAATTCTGGGATTGCAGCCCTCCCTGCCAGTTGGGAGACACTCAGGAATGGATGTCCAGAGACATCTGCATTGATTCTGGAAACACTTTTATTATTATTATACTTTAAGTTCTACGGTACATGTGTAGAATGTGTAGCTCTGTTACATACGTATATACACATGCCATGGTGGTTTGCTGCATCTATCATGCCATCATCTATACTAGGTATTTCTCCTAATGCTATCCCTCACCTAGCCACCCCCACCTTGACTGGCCCCAGTGTGTGATGTTCCCCTCCTTATGCCCATGTGTTCTCATTGTTCAACACCCACTTATGAGTGAGAACATGTGGTATTTGGTTTTTCTGTTCTTGTGTCAGTTTGCTGAGAATGGTGGTTTCCAGCTTCATCCATGTCCCTGCAAAGGACATGAACTCATCTGTTTTTATGGCTGCATAGTATTCCATAGTGTATATGTGCCACGTGTTTTTTATCCAGTCTATCATTGATGGGCATTTGGGTTGGTTCCAAGTCTTTGCTATTGTGAACAGTACTGCAATAAACACACGTGTGTATGTGTTTTTATAACAGAATGATTTATAATCTTTTGGGTATATACCCAGTAATGGGAGTGCTGGGTCAAATGGTATTTCTAATTCTAGATCCTTGAGGAATCACTACACTGTCTTCCACAATGGTTGAACTAATTTACACTCCCACCAACAGCGTAAAAGCATTCCTATTTCTCCACATACTCTCCAGCATCTGTTGTCTCTTGATTTTTGGATGATTGCCATTTTATCTGGCATGACGTGGTATCTCAATGTCGTTTTGATTTGCATTTCTTTAATGACCAGTGATGATGAGCTCTTTTTCATATGTTTTTTGGCTGCATAAATGCCTTCTTTGAAAAGTGTCTGTTCACATACTTTGCCCACCTTTTCATGGGGTTGTTTTCTCTTGTAAATTTGTTTAAGGTAATAGATTCTGGATATTAGCCCTTTGTCAGATGAGTAGATTGCAAAAAATTTTCCCATTCTGTTGGTTGCCAGTTCACTCTAATGATAGTTTATTTGGCTGTACAGAAGCTCTTTAGTTTACTTAGATCCCATTTATATATTTTGTCTTTTGTTGCTATTGCTTTTGGTGTTTTAGTCATGAAGTCCTTGCCCAGGCCTGTGTCCTGAATGGTATTGCCTAGGTTTTCTCTAGAGTTGTTATGGTGTTAGGTCTCATGTTTAAATCTTTAATCCATCTGGAGTTAATTTTTGTATAAGGTGTAAGGGAGGGATCCAGTTTTGGCTTTCTGCATATGGCTAGCCACTTTTCCCAACACCATTTATTAAATAGGAAATCCTTTCCCCATTGCTTGTTGTTGTCACATTTGCAAAGATCAGATGGTTGTGATGTGTGGCATTTCTGAGGCCTCTGTTCTGTTCCATTGGTCTGTATCTCTGTTTTGGTACCAGTCTCATGCTGTTTTGATTACTGTAGGCTTGTAGTATAGTTTGAAGTCAGGTTGTGTGATGCCACCAGCTTTTTTTTTTTCTTAGGACCCTCTTGGTTCTGTGGGCTCTGTTTTGGTTCCTTAAGACATTTAAAGTGTTTTTTTTCCAATTCTGTGAAGAAAGTCAATGGTAGCCTGATGGGGATAGCATTGAATCTATAAATTACTTAGGGCAGTATGGTCATTTTCATGACATTGATTCTTCCTAACCATGAGCAAGGAATGTTTTTCCATCTGTTTGTGTCCTCTCTTATTTCCTTGAGCAGTGGTTTGTAGTTCTCCTTGAAGAGGTCCTAAACAACCCTTGTATTTCTAGGTATTTTATTCTCTGTAGCAATTGTGAATGCTACAAAGAGAATAATGGGAGTTCCCTCATGATTAAGTGGGTGTTGAACAATGCAAACACATGAACACAGGGAGGGGAACATCACACACCTGGGATGGGATAGCATTAGGAAACCTATCTAATGTACATGATGGGGGCTGGGGATGCAGTAAACCACCATGGCACGTACAGACCTATGTACAAACCTGCAGGTTCTGTACGTGTACCCTAGAACTTAAAATATAATAAATATAAAAGAAACGTGATTCTCTGGTTTCATTCCATTTTAGGATATTTAGAGAAATTCAGTAAGAG